TGATGTCAGAGTCCGCGATCCTTTGCGATTTTCGCGATTTGCGCGATTTTCGCGAAACCTGCGATGGATCACAGGAGTTGGAAGTGCCCGATGAATACTGCGAGGTGTTGTTTAATCCTGCTGCGAATTCTGCTTGGCAGTAAAGATTGGAAGACGAATGTTTGTGGTTCTACTTGTTTCATGTTCAATGTCTATTAGTTCATTGAAATGCTCTTGAATCGTTCCTATTTTTTTCAGGAATCAAACCAAACCAATCACAAAAATTGCAAGTGCCCCATTTGAACAATTGAAACACTGGATATGAAACAAGTGGAATCATGAGCAGTCTCCATTAAACCATAACCATCAAGCAGAAGTGACGGCGGGATTGGAGAACACCTTGCAGTATTGATGGGGCACTTGTGATTTCCGTGACCCGTCGCGCAAATCGCGAAAATCGCGCAAAGGATCGCGGACTCTGACATCAGCCTTAGCCTAATTACTAACAAAGAGAGGAGCGAGAAAAACCATTTATGTCATCATCGCCTCGTTTCCTCGCAACTTTTTTCCCACCCGACAGCTCTAGTGAGTACGGCGGGTGAAGCAAAGTTAGTCCGCCGATGTTCATCTCATGCGATGCTGTACCCATCGTACAGTTGATTGAGAATTTTTCTACCACAAATTTCAAAACGTTGTCATCAATAGCAGAGGAACACTTCGAACCTGCAGCTCCATAAAGGAATTCCTCAGGACCATGATATTTAAGCCAGTATTATACTGCGCTTCCATTAGCGTTTCATAGATCCCCACTTCAGTATCAACTCAGTGACTTCATTTGCTTATGTTATTGATAGATTCAGTAGTATTGTGCTGTCCCGGAGCCTCATCAGGACCTAAATATTATATAACACAAAGAGGCACCAAAATTTATTTCAAAAGAATTCCAAAAGTTCACAAAGTATTCGAAAAAACTCCAAAATTCCAAAAAACAGCAAAAAATTCAAAAAGAACTCCTTTGAAATCTTCTGCGGTATTCGGTGTTAACACCTTCTTCAGGCCTGAAATACATTGATTATAGGGTGAAAGTAATTTGATGGTTTCCCGAACCCATATATGTACCCACATGTGTATGCCTCAGCCAAGGATTAAGCTGCCCTTACGGGAGCCGCGCCGTTGGAGTGGAATTAACTTACCGCTCACCCTCTGCTTAAATAGTAGCGGACGCTGTGACGGTCATTGCATGTGATATTAAAAATACGTGACATTGGGCACGTAGTTAATTTAGTTGTAGAGCGTCACGTAGTTCGTCCTTACTATTTATTTCGGGTGATAGTTTTCTTATTTCTAATGCCTCCAATAGCTTCCTTTCCACCGGGTTCCTATGGAGCGGTGTAGCACCTTAATGGTCAACGAAGGGGGTTCCCCATATGTGTGTTTTTTGGTGCGGTGCTTGGAGAAGCTGCTGTTTGGATACGAGGCTGGGTTTTGTAATGCCCTTCGGTGTTCATCCAAACGCTTGTAAAGAGGCCTTTTTGATTCTCCAACATACTTTTGTCCGCATCCTTGGCATTCTATTAAATAAACGGTACCCCTCAATTGGCAAATTTTATTGTCGTTACAGTATGCACAATTCCTTCTGCCACATTTTTCTTCATATGGTCTTGAATAGGTGAGTAGATGTTTGAGATTAGGTGGTGGACGAAATATAAGGCGTATGGGGAGCTTTGACCTTTTGACCACACTATTAACTTTTTGTGCCGTACTCTCGTTCAGATACGGCACTACCATGGGAACACCATCTGGTTTCTTTGTGAACTTTTGGAATTCTTTTGAAATAAATTTTGGTGCCTCTTCATGTTATCCCTACTATATATAAAACGCTATGTCTGTCTGTTTGTGTGTGTGTGCGTGTGTCACGAAATTCATAGCACGCGTCGCAGCAGTCGTCAGGAGCTGATTTTTTGATATGATATAGGGGGTGGGACGGGAACATATTTGGTGGGGGTCACAAAGTGATAACGACTGATAAGAGCAGATAAGAGGCGCTGAAACACAAATTTCACGAAATTCATAGTGCGCTTCGCAGCAGTCGTCAGGAGCTGATTTTGGATATGATATAGGGGGTGGGACGGGAACATATTTGGTGGGGGTCACAAAGTGATAACGACTGATAAGAGCAGATAAGAGGCGCTGAAACACAAATTTCACGAAATTCATAGTGCGCTTCGCAGCAGTCGTCAGGAGCTGATTTTGGGACATGATATAGGGGGTGGGACGGGAACATATTTGGTGGGGGTCAAAAAGTGATAACGACTGATGAGGACTGATAATACGATATGCGTACGAACGTAGAGATTACTCGAAACCAGATTGCAGATAATGCATTTCATTTCAATATCATTTCATTAGCGTTGTAATTGTAAACTCAACACCTTTCGACCGCTACACCTTCTAGAGTTCTTGAGGATGAATGGGATGCTCGAATAAATATGATAATGAATACTGGGCATTCCGTTTTGAGATATTCGACCGCTAAATTACCTCGATACTCGACGCATAGTGGTTGTTTACATCATCACTTTAGCTGTGCACTTCACTGCGCTTATCAAACAGTGAGATACAGCCAAGATGGGCAGCAACGGACAGTAATGCATTTAACGAAGCAGCTATAGTTAAGCGGTGAAACCCAAAGCTTCACCGATTGTCAGTTCTATCAAAGGCTTCCGTGTCATGCGCGCGGTAGCGGGCGGAGCTAAACTGGTATAACATAATGGATTTAGATCAACTCAGAAACTTCATTTGCTTAATCTACTGCCTTGGGACCTTCAATTCAACTCTGCGAGAATCTTCAAAACAGCAAGTAATATAAAAATCCATTAATAACATAAGAAATTGTAGGTAGGGGAAAATTACTGGTGCCCTAAAATTTCAATAGGCAATTTTGACAACAATTCTCACAAAACCAATTCTAATTATCAATATTATTTACTACAAACATGACAATACAAAAAATGTTAATGCTTCTCAAAATGATCTCCTTTAGCCACAGTTCACACATTCCTTCATATCTTCAACAAAAGCTTCGCATGTGGCACGCATGCAGCTATATCCCCACGTTCCGTTCACGTTACAAGGTAAATTTCTACAGATACCCAATGAAGAATATGTAGACCTCACTTTCCAACATTCCAACACCGCCCCTAAAGACTGTGCCATACCTTCAAATTCAGTTTGCTCAAATTGCAAATCAAGTGTGGAGTAGATACGAATCGTTTATGCGATCGCAAGATCTACCTCACACTCAAATAGTAAACCTGCCCACCTGACACAAATAACAAACCAAGGGCAACGTATGACTCGTCCTTAACACATAGACGACAATGCGAGTTTTGGTGTTTTGGCCATGTGGGACCGACGCGATTTTGCGACCGCATTTGTCGCGGTATACATATCCCCGCACGGTCCAACAAGGCCCGTTTTTGGAAGCTCGAACGTATAAACAACTTTAGAGAGCGGTGACTAAGTAAGTTAGCTTACATGATAAAAGCACAAACAAAGTGGCTCCTCCAGCAGAAGTTTCGATTGAGTAAACGCCTATTTAGGTTACAAAATGGATCCAATTGAAGACTTCGTTGAAGAATGTTCGTATACGTTTTTCTACTATAAATGCCGAAATGTGCTTCATCGCATTCCTGTGGTTGCGTAACTCGTCTAGACAGGTCTCTTCCACGCCGTCGTTGCCATTCGGTGTTACCCCACCAGTTTGATCTGGGGTTGTTGCTTTAAAGGAAGCGGTCACGCTGGCTTCCACGCTGGATTTGCTACCCTCGCGTTATCAATCGATAAGGTGTGAGGCAGTAATTGTTGGACGAGTGTAAGCCCATGGAAGATATGATACGATGAGATAAGAAGGTGCGGCTGCTTGATAAGAGGTGCACTCCAGAATGAAAACGGGACGATAACGATAACGGTATCGTATAAATAAATAAATAAACAAATAAATAATAAATAAATAAATAAATAAATAAATAAATAAATAAATAAATATCTAGCACGCTCTTATCGCACCCCTTTCCACATCGATAAGTCTTGGTTTTTGCTGAACGGAAGTGGATTTCGGCGCCTTATCACTCCGTTGATAAGGCGCCACTGCCACTGAAACTTCACGTGTTCTAACATTGGGCAGGACCCCTATCCACTCCAATACATAGCTTCCCTTATCGTTCCCATGAAAATTATCGTGACCACTTCCTTTAAAGGAAGTGGTCACGATAATTCTCATAGGGACGATAAGGAAAGCTGTGTACTGGAGTGGATAGGGGTCCTGCCCAATGTTACAACACGTGAAGTTTCAGTGGCAGTGGCGCCTTATCAACGGAGTGATAAGGCGCCGAAATCCACTTCCGTTCAGCAAAAACCAAGACTTATCGATGTGGAAAGGGGTGCGATAAGAGCGTGCTAGATATGATACCGTTATCGTTATCGTCCCGTTTTCATTCTGGAGTGCACCTCTTATCAAGCAGCCGCACCTTCTTATCTCATCGTATCATATCTTCCATGGGCTTACACTCGTCCAACAATTACTGCCTCACACCTTATCGATTGATAACGCGAGGGTAGCAAATCCAGCGTGGAAGCCAGCGTGATCGCTTCCTTTAACTCAAAGAATGCACGAGAAAAATTGTATAGGTGTAATCAATCAATTTATGGTCACATCAACATCGAGATATTCGTACTAGCGAAATTTATGCACTACGTGACGCTTGTAGTACTGATAGAAAGCAGCTACTTTGCGCAGCTTGAACTGCATAGATTCTTCAAAACACTCTGCTGTTGAACCCGCACGAGAAAAAGCTATAAGCGAGTCTCTAGAACTTTCAGTTTGTCCATTAATTAGCATTCTTGTGAAAAGGAATAATGACTTTTTCAATGAGAAAATCCACCTAAGAAGGCATCAGGCCACACAAGACTAACACGATCAACTTGCAAGGAAAACAAGAACTGCAAATATTGACGATCTACCGTGCAATAACGAGACCAACCTGCAGCATAGTAGTGAGAGGTCGATAGGGGTGGTACACTACGAGACAGCAGTCGAGCATTTCAACCAAGATAAACTCAGCGTCATATAGACCACTATTTTTTGACGACGCGTCGTAGGTAAGGTTAGGCCACTTTTTCAAACAGTTAGGGATTGTCTTGATAAGATTAGACATTGACATGAGACCGTGTTCTTCAACCTGAGTTAAAAACTTATAAGAATATGTGTACCAAAGAAGATAATAACAGCAATCGGACAGAAGTGCTGTAACGGTGTCATAACTCTCTACAATAAAACCTACCTTCGACGCCAGAAAAACCGAAGCACAAGCAATGAGAAGCGGATCCACGTCTTTATAAGAGCGCCGAGCATAGAAACGCTTGAAGTAAACAATCGCAGTGGCGATTACCTAAGCAACTAATTTTTGATGAAACCACGCCAGCAGATAAAAATGTAGAATGTACAGAATAGAAATACTAGTAAATTTAAGGACCTGCATTCTTGTTTTTGGGTGACCCTGCTGTATTCCCTCGACGGCAAGTGTTTGTATTAGATTAGCCCAGAAGATCATTAACTTTTGATACTCTTCTTCAGTGTAAATCTGCAAAGACTGTCTTGATTTACTTTTGCATTTCGAGTATGGAATATGTGTATTGATCATGAGGTTGCACGATCATGCACGTATCCACACCACATTCAAACTGCAAGTAGCAAAGTATAGCACGAACCCTTAATGGAATTCTGCGATAACATCGAAGGATGAATAAGGAGAAACTCACCTTGAGGAAGGACATGTGGCCCCTCAAGGGAGCGGACTGACATGCACGACCATGAGCTTAACACTTATGCACGAGCACGCTCTTTCCTACTGGGGCCGTCTTCACCAGGATGATGCATGGTTGATGCAAATAAATGGTGCATGATGCATGGTTGATGCAAATAAATTTCGCCTGAACTTGCACCCTGAAAAAATGCAGTCCGAGTTTTCTGGCAGGCTGCTCACCTTCCAAACCTCGTTCGTTGCGGAACCATGCTTCATTCTCCTTCCAACATCCCTGGCGCTTATTTCGGCGTTGTTGGATTAGCTTCCAGTGCGGTTAAGAGCTAGTTTAACGAAACGAGAAATAAAGGCAAAAGACAATTCTTTATACATATGTCACATGCCTTCTCTGCATAGAATGTACATAGAAAGGTTTAGCGATTAACTGTCGTAATTTCCCAATGTTAACTATTTTGTATACTATACTATATTTTTGCGTTGCTGAAAAATCTGCCAATTTCTAACGATTACTATTAATGTCAGCCCTGCTCCGAACAAGTAGAAAAAGCACTTACAATTAGATAGTTTTTACTTTCTCTCATATTATTTATAACAGGATAACCTTATCGTAGTGACATTAAGAAGCATGTTTGGCGTTGTACAAAGAATTGCAACCCCTGCAGAGGTGAGATTCCATTGACTCCGTCGTTATGGTTGACGATTTTTTCTTATGACTCGACCATTTGGACAGGTTGATCTTTAAACGCTTCGTAATAACCCCACCGAACCAATATCTCTTGCAAAACAAAGGCAACTTGATATTTCTCACTGTCATGTTTGACCTGTGAATAAATAAATAAATAAATAAACCCTTGTAGAACACGTATCCTTACTTCCGAGAATCGTCGTCGACGCTCAGCAGCGAAGTCATTCATTGTTGCTGCCAGATTGAGCGTATGACAAGTTTTAGCTTTGGTTTATTTGAAAGTCTGCTCCAAGTTTTTCGCAGACATTTTCTCACCACATAATATGTGTGCCACATGAAAAAAAAAACAGAAGCCCCTAAACGTTTGAGATCACCTTTATTTAGTTGCGACCAACGTTCAACAATCAGTTGGACCCCTCAGCTAACATTAACTTGAATTCACACGACTTTGACTTACTGTCGACACTGAGCGGTCCGGAGCAATCCCTCCAGCGTGCAGCCCAAAGAAGTGCCAGAACCAAATGATGTTGAAGGGAAAATGCAGCATGGTCCCACAACGAACTAGGTTCAAAAGCCTGCCAAAGGAACTCGGACTGCATTTTTTAAGGGTGTGGGTTCAGGCAACAGTAAGCAAATATGCAATTTTGATGGTTTTTTTTTGCACAGTTGGAACCAAAGGGTAGGATGCTAGCGAACGAAGGGAGGAATATGCCCGTATCATATCATGTCATTAGCAGGGTGGATTATGCTTTCGACTTTCTTAGTGCAACAAGATGCATATACTCGATATCGGTAAGTTGGGGTAGGCGTGTCACCGGAAGTGACGTGCACTTGATAGAAACTATGTGGATAAGCTGCTTCCAACATACATCGCTGGATATCAGCAAAGCATGC